AAGTTCTTAAACTGCCTGCCATTGTAGCACTTCCTCTCAGAAAATGCCCTTTCCAGATCAGTAGTCAAGGCACAACCGTACAGTCTCTGCTCCCTGGAAGGATGCTGCTGGAGGATCTCTTGAGCTCAGGGATTCTGAGCTGCAGTGGACATAGCTGATTGCAGGTCTGAACAAAGTGTGGCGTTAATATGACGAGCCCCGGGAGGGATCGGGGGAGTGATGTGGCAGTCAACTGTTTAAGGATGCTGCTCAAATCTCCTATGATGGGAGCCCATGAATAGTCCCTATACTTCTTGCCTCCTTGAGATAGTTAAAAAATATAAATAAAAGCTATTTCACAAACAACCAAGACCAGAAATATGCTGAAATTCACTTCAATAGACCAGGGACAAAATTCCTCCTCCCCATTTATTGTTTTCTTGATATGCTTTCTGCCTTCTTTCTTCTTTCTAAAGGGAGTAAGATGTGCCCCCCGTGACACTGAAGCCACAGGGTTATGGTCTTTAACACACGATTACAAAATAAAACTAATGTTCCCATAGCAACGTTGATACAGCCAACGCTGCATAACTAGCAACCTGATGATCACATGTTACGTGTGAAATGTGGAGGATATTAACACCCCGACGAAAGCATTCATTTTGACATTTCCTGACCTTTGGTTCTTTGGTTCTTTCAATTTTCAACCTTGTTGCTATGTCTCCGCAGACTCTGGATTTAATGTGCGGTATGCTATACGCCACATAGGGTGTGTGCATTGCCCTGAGATACTTTGAAATGGAGGATGGTGCAAGCAACAGATGCCAAGAGTAATATTGTTTAATTATTAACTCTGACGGCTTCCAGAGCACCAAAGCTGCCCTCCCAGAAGGCAGACAGCCGAATGATAGCTTGGGAATGACAGCACACTGCCTCTTACATTCACTGTTTTAATTGACAAATTTAATCGACAGAGTCACACTTTGCGTGTCTCCTAAAAGGTAACAGTAAACTGTAAATTCCCATTCTTTGGCTGTTTATAGCCTCTGTAATGGGAAATGAAAAGGTGAAATGAACTTGGGCAGGTAATTAGCACGATATTTCGAGGAGGGCTTGATTTTTCAGAGACTGGTAGCAAGTTTGTCTTTTTTTTTTCCTCTTCATGAGAGTGTGAACAACTGTCTGAGCTGCCTTGAGCAATCTCTCCTTAAAGTTCATTCTTGAAGGTGATGCTACATGCTATCAAACTGTTCTAAAATGATTACAAACAGTACAAAAATGAAGAAAATAAATAGAGCACCTGGGGCACCCCTGCTCACACTTGAGTCACTAGAAATGCTGTACCAGGTTGAAAGTACTCTATAAGTACACAAACACTCTAAAATCAGAGCTCCCAAACCCCAACTAGTGTATTTATTTTTACCAGTCACCCAAAGCACTCAGTATAAAAGAAAGGCATTTAACAAAGTGTCATAGTATCCAGGATTGGGAACCTGTGGCCTCAAGACCACCCTCTAGGTCTTTTAAGTGCAGCCCTTTATGAGTCAAAGGGAAAAATCTGGGAAAACCATAGCAAGAGAATAACTCTCCCCTAAACTGAGGGTACATTTTCAAACAAATACAGATACCTTCATGGGAAACGTGAACATAGTTAGTCAATAAGCATTTGTAAGCACCTACTGTGTGCCAGGTGCTAAGTGCTAAATGCTGGGCATACAAAGAAAGAGTACAGACAGACAACATGCAAAATACATACATACATATACATACATATATACATACACCCAAATATGTATACACACATACATATATACAAACACACACAAATATATGTATATGTGTATCAGTGTATACACATGTGTGCATATATATGTACATATATGTGGGATGGAGATGAGGAGGGAGATGCGGAGGGATATTCCAGGCATTTGGGCATCCATTGAAAATGCCTGGAGCTGGGAGATGAAATGTCTTGCTTTAGAAACAGTAAGGAGATCATCGTCACTGATTGCAGAGTATGTGGGAGGATGTAAGATATAAGAGGGCTAGAAATGGGGGAAGGCATTTTGTGAGGAGCTTTGAATGTTAGACAGATCATTTTACATTTGATTCTGGAGGTCCTATGTGTGTCTAGGGAACAGAGAGGCAGGGATACATATAAATGGGGAGCATGTATAACCAGGACATACACCTATAGGGGAAAATCAAACACTAAAGCCACCAATTTCTTTTTATGATGTCATCACATGGCTCTTGCTCTGGTAGTGTCATGGTTTCTATAAGACCTAGCTCTGTTGACATCTTGGTGAAACAGTGGGTGGAACAGTGAGCCTGAAGTCAGGAAGAACTGAATTCAAATTTGATTGCATAAATTTACTGGTTGTGTGACTTTGGATAGCTCACTTAACTTCTGTTGGTTTCAGTTTCCTCATCTGTAAAATGGGGCTCAAAATAGTACCTACCTCTCAAGATGGCTCAAATGAGATAAAACTTATTTAGTACCTAGAACAGCGCCTGACACACAGAGCATACATAAATGTCGGTTATTACTATTGCTAGCTGTTGGACACACCACACAGCTTTGGAACTTTGCTTTCATCTTCTGATAATGACCTTAGGGTTGTTCTCCTTTCCCAATAAGAAGAGGAATGGATTATACCACTTCTGTTCTAATTTAGACTCCATTTTAAGTTTTAGCTGTTTTGAGATTGATGAGTCTTTTACAGTATACCTATTATTAGAGCAGAGTAAAGCGCTCAGTGATTATTTTCCCAAAATGAAAGGAAGAGCCATCAGTTTCCAGAGGCTTACTTGTGAGTGATTTTTCTATCTAGAGGAAGGCTTTTGTCTCTTGCATCAAGCTCTTTCAAACAGAGAATAGCTAACCTGCTAAGTAGAGAAGTAGAGACCCCAGACATTTAAGCTGTTTTTCATTATACTTTGTCAGATTTATATCACAATACATTATCTCAGGCAACTATCTGATTTATGGTTAGAAATTCCTCACACTTTATATTTAATTTTGCCAATCTGTACCCCAACTCAAAATAATTTTAGAGGCAGCTTTCTTTGTATTGCCAGCTCTTTTTATATTTTCTGCCACATAGTAGGCACATAATAAATGTTTATTAACTGACTGACAATACTTTTTCAAGGGCTATCTGATTCTCAGCTGTCCTGTTTTTCTTGCCCCTATATGAGGAGAGAGACAGAGAGAGACAGAGACAGAAACAGAGAGAGTGTCAGTCTAAGTAAAGCCCTCCTCAATTTATAGTTCCAAATAAATCTTGCCATTTTGATGTGCTTCTACTTTCAACAATTCTGCAACACCATAACAGAAAAGTAAAATAAGGTATTTTTTTTTCCACAATCTCAGCATTAGAAGGGAGCTGAGAGGTAATTTAGACTAACCTCCTAAATGGTCTTTCTCTAACTTAATTGTACAAAATCTCCCATGTCATCTAATTCTATGTGCATACAGCCACTACATTAATTCTTATCAAATGTTCATCTAGACAAGAGCACTAATTCTGGAGTAAAAATGAAATTGGGCTTTGAACTTGGGTCCAACAGAACAACTATAATTTATTTTTCCTCATGACAACTACTCCCTTTTTTTTTAATAGACAAGGTATTTCCTGAGTCTTCTCTTCCCTAAGTAAACAACCATATTTTATTTAATAGATGTGATTTTACCATGGTTTCCTACTCTTAATCATCCTAGTCAATCTCTTCTCAACAAGTCCTGTTTGACTATGTCCCTCCAAAAATGTGATAGTCATGTTTAACTCACCAAGTTAGCATACACTCAAATACATCACCCCAGCAGCAACGGTACTTACCAAAGCCTTGTTGTTGGCATAACTGAACAAGCATGAAGAACTTTAGTATTTTCATTCTAAATTTATTATTTGTTCTTTTCAAAATTTATTTTTGTAAATTTGATTTTCACCCATTGAAAAGACAAGAAATATAATATCAATTATAAATGTGAAATCATGCAAAATATATTTACATATTAGCCATGTTTCAGAAAATGAAGAAAGACAGAAAGAAAAGAAGACACAGAAAGAAACAAAGAAACAAAGAAAGAAAAAGAAAATTGAAAAAGTATGTGTCAGTCTCCACTAGCACTTCATCAGCTCTTTCTCTGAAGGGGGATAGCAGTATTCATCATCAGTCCTTCAGAACTCTCTTGCATCACTGTATTGATCAAAATAGTGAAGTCAAAGAGTTTCAATTATAAAAACAGGAGCATACAAGAAGGACCATGGATAAAAGAGAGTTAATAATAATTATGAAGCTATGGGATCATTAGACTACTAGAAGTTGTATAGCAGGACCCACACCTATTTTCTCTCTAAATGAAGACAGGATTAAGAGCTGTATCAGTAGAAGGGGAGACTGAGGCTGGGTGAAATGGAAATTTCTATCTAAAGATTACAATCACTTCTGTGTGATGGAGAAAATAAACAGCAGCAAAGCTGTGGCTGGAGATGAAGAACAGGTACTAGGTTGTGTTGAGTTATCCAATGACAACATGTAGGCGATGGATAAAAGTAATCATCTGTGCTATTTTGTTTGACTGTTGTTGTCTTTGAGTGAAGGGATTGAGGATGGTTGGGGAAGAGCTCAGCCTACAAGGAACAGACACTTTAGCTGTCTCCATTCTCCCCTGGAGGACCTCTGGCCAGGGTCTTCCCTCTTCAGTGGATGATAAAAGATTCTATGAACTTGTGGAGATGGAAGGGTCACAGGGACACCTGAAAAATCTCACCTTTTTTCTTCAAATCTGATGGCTGCCAGATGCTTGAGATGAAGCCATTTCAATAAAGACCAGAGAAGAAAGGGATATTAGATATTGCTCTTGCCCTCACCAGGGAAGTTTGGGTAATAACCCTAATATAGTTTACACAGTTTGCATTTGATAATACTTGTATTTACATTTCTCCCAGGTGATAATAGTAAACACTTTTCCCTAGTAGTCAGTTAGTTAGCTTTTATTAAGCCCTTATTGTGTACTTGGCACTGCCCTAAATGCTGAAGACATAAGGAAGAGGCAAATGGGAGGTATCAGGGGAACACATGGAAACAATTATGGAGATAAACAAACAAATGAACAACCAAACAAATGAACAAATAAACTTTGTAAATGGGAGAGAATCTCAGAGGGAACACACTAGAGCTTTGGAAAGGGTAGGAGGTTTCATCAGAAAGGATTTCTTCGGGGAGGTGGAGCTAGTGCAAAGTCTTGAAGGAAGCCAGAAGGGGCAGACCAGAAGAAAGAACATTCCAGGCATGGGGGCTGACCATTGTAGAGACAATCATTCATTTGAGGCTTAAGTAATGTAGATATTATCCTCATTGACACAGAGACACTAAGAAGGAAAGAAAGAAGGAAACAAGCATTTATGTAGTTACTATGTGCTAGACATTGTGCTAAGTCCACTAGAAGAAACCAGTGCAGTGGATAGAGTGCTGGACCTGAAATCAAGAAGACCTGAGTTCAAAGCTTTCCTTAGACATTAGCTGTGTGATGCTGTACAAGTTATTTAACCTGTATGTCCCTCAGTTTCCTCAATTATAAAATAGCACCTCCTTAATCCAGGGCTGTTACAATGTTCCAATGAGATATTTGTAAAAGCACTTTGCATAATACTTGGCACAAAGTAGGCATGTAATAAATGTTTACTCTTTCCTTTTACAAGTATTATCTCATTTAATTCTCACAACCACCTTGGCAAGCCCGTGTTACTATTATGTCCATTTTATTTTTTTTATTTTTTAATTAATTTATTTTGATTTATCAGCAATCACTTCCATAAGCTTTTGAGTTTAAAATTTTTTCCCCCTCCCTCCCCACCTCCCTCCCCAAGACTGCACACAATCTGATATAGGCTATACATATACATTCCTATTAAAGATATTTTCGCATTAGTCATGTTGTAAGGAAGAATTAGAACCAATAGGAGGAACCACCAGAAAGAGGAAACAAAAAAAGGGGAAAAAAATAGCAAATAGCATGCTTCGATCTGCATTCAAACTCCATAGTTCTTTCTTTGGATGTGGATAGCATTTTCCATCAGGAGGCCTTTGGAGATGTCTTAGATCCTTGTATTGCAGGGAAGGGTTAAGTTTATCAATATTAGTCATTGCACAATGTGACTGTTATTATGTACAATGTTCTCTTGGTTCCACCCATTTCGCTCAGCATCAGACCATACAAGTCTTTCCAGGTTTTTCTGAAGTTAGCCTGTTCATCATTTCTATTATGCCCATTTTACGGATGAGGAAACTGAAGAAAACAGAGGGTAAGTGACTTCCCCAGGGTCAAGTAAGTTTCTGAGGATGGATTATACCCAAGTTCTTCTTGACTACAGACCCAGTGTTCTATCCATGGTACTCCTGAGCTGATGGAAGGGATCTCTATGGCCTTTTAGGCTAATTCATAACTGAGCAAAATTCTAAGTTGCAATATTCTACTTAATCTAACAGTTTTATTTTTTAAGTTCTTCATAAGTGCAAAATATTAGAGAATTTCAAACTCAGAAGGATTATAGAATAATAAATTTAGTCCCAGGAGGGACCTCAGATGATACCCAAGCCAAGCTTGTCATTTTATAAATGAGAAACCTGACACTCGGAGGTTTAGGGACTTGCCTAGAATCACAGAGCTAGGAAGTATTTGAAGTGGATTCAAAGCTAGGTCTTCCTCACTCCAAGTCCAGAGCCATCTCCCCTCCACCATGCTGAAGCTAACATCAAGTCCAATATTTGCCTGAAAAAGAATCCTTTCTACAAGGTACCTAACAAATGGTCATCCAGTCTTTTCTTGAAGACTTCTCACAAGGGAAATCTCATTAAATCTTAAAGCAACTCCTTCTAGGTTGGAGGAAGTGATTGGGTTAGGAGAGGACTTTAGAAGTCCTTTCCAATATTTGCTGGGCTCTAATATAGATGGGGGCAGGTAGGTGGCACAGTGGATAGAGTGCTAGTCCTAGAGTCAGGAAGACCTGAGTTCAAATCTGGCCTTAAATACTTACTAGCTGTGTGACCCTGGGAAAGCTACATCACCTCGTTTGCCTCAATTTCCCCATGTGTCAAATGAGCTGGGGAAGAAAATGGCAAACCTCTCCAGTATTTTTGCCAAAAAACCCTCAACTGGGGTCATGAAGAGTCATACACAACTTAAAACAACTAAATGAGAACAACAAATATAGATAGATTAGTATACTGTGCCTGACTCCAAAAGGCAGGAGTTTTCAGTGAAGAAAATTGAAACTTCATTTATGAAGCAGTTTCTTTAAAAAGAGAGATGCCTAAAAGTACAATGAACTGTACTGTGAGGTAGTGAGTTCCCTGTCAACCGACGGGCTTCCAGCAAAAGCTGGATGCTCATTTGAGTGGATCTGATAGTATATATTCCTGTGTAGGTCCTGATTGGACTCCATGACACCTGAGGTCCCTTCCAAAGTCCCTTCCAACCACAAGTTGCTATCACTTGTTTTTGGTCAAATAATGAATAATTGGCAGAGAAAGGTTATGTGATTACATGCTCAGCATGATTGTTTGCTATGGCATTGGCATGGATCAAAAACAATCATTTCTCCTTTGGAAGGTCTAGTAATGTCTGCATTCAGGGTCCCTTCACCCAATTATTTCAACATGCCAGTATCTCTAAATCTTCTCTCATCCTATAAGATAGAGTTTTTATCATGTTTCTTCATACATCCACTTATTTGATTAGGCCATACTTGGCAAGAAAAAGAAGACATCCCTGTAAATAACTGCTTTCAGAAAAAGTCGATGAAGGCAGCAGTGGTTTAGGGTTTAATGTCAAAGTGGAATATAAGTCTGACAGGGAAGGCTCTTGATTTTCTCTGCTTGAAGAAGATGTGTCCAGTGGGAATTAAGCTATCATATTAAAACTTGGAATGAATGCTGGCAAGATTCAATACATCAAATTCTGATTTTTTTCTAAGTTATACACATTTCTCAGAGACAGATGGGACCTGGGGAGGGGAGGCAGGACTTGAGAAGAGACATACTTTGTTTAACGCCAGACCCTAGCCAGGAGGTCCCACTTCTGTTGGGAAGATGAGAATAAACCAGAAGGTATATTTTTCCATAGCATTGACCTCTTCCCACCCCCAATTCTGATGTTAAATGAACTTCTGATATCCATTAAAACAGGATATCCTCAGCAAGAGTCTTGGCTTTGAGCATGGCATAAAAGTCAAAAGATATAGACTATTTCCTAACCCTGTGATCTCGTGTCATTGCATCATAGGATTTAGATTGGGAAGGTAGATTACCATACCATCAAGTCCAATCCATTCATTTTACTGATAAGGAGAGTCCCAGCAAGGGAAAGTGATTTGCCTAATGACTCATAGGTAATTAGGAGTAGAGACAAAATTCTAAGCCTGGTGAATTCCACTAAATCACTTAAGATCCTCAAGCCTTTATTTCCTCATTTACAAAATGGGGACAATAATATCAGATGACCTCCTCCAAAAGGTTGTCATGAGGACTCAATGACATAATGGATATTAAATGTAAACCATTGAGAAATGAAAAGTATATTTTGCTATTGTGGCTGGAATGTGAGCTATTCTCCTTATTTGCTTGTAATGATTTCTTCTTTCTTTGCTATCAATCCATGACACCATTAAAAAAAGCAACCTTCAAGAAAGCTTTACTAAGGTCATTGGTCTAGGTAAGTTTCTTCTTACCAGCTACCATGAATGGAAGTCACACTTTCCATATTACCCTATATTTATTTATGTTTTGCTTCATTGACTGGCTTGGTGATTATGTTTTGTTTCCTCAACCGTATCTCAAGCTCCCTGAAGAGTTGCAGTTTTCTTTAAATTCTCAGATTTAAGAGCTTAAGAATCGGATTTGTGAAATTAGATTCACTTTTTCACTGTTTTGTCTTCACTGATCAGGTAGCTAGACCCAACTTATGTGTTCAGGCTGTCCTTAGAAAGGGAGATAGGCAAAAGGGCATGGGAAGAGTCTGCCTTGAGAGTTCCTATGAACACAGATCTGGAGATGAAAGGAACTTCAGAAGTGCTCTGGCCCAGCTCTCTCATTTCACAGATGAAGATACTGAGGCCTACAATGTTTAAGTGCCCTGAGATTTTAGAATCACAGATCTAGAGATAGAACTCAAAGACCGTCTCGTCTAAAGGTATAATGGGCTGCCTTGCTAAAGATCATACAGGTAGTAAATAAGTGGTTGTTCAGTCATTTCACTTGTGTCTGACTTGTCATGACCATATTTCTTTTTTTTTTCTTTTTTGGCAGAGATACTGGAGCATTTTGTCATTTCTTTCTCCATCTCACTACAGATGAGGCAACTGAGGCAAATAGGGTTAAGCAACTTTCCCAGAGTCACATAGAAATAAGTGTCTGAGGCCAGATTGGAACTCAGGAAGACAGATCTTCTTAGTTCCAGGTCCAGTGCTCTATCCACTGTACCACCTAGATGCCCTAACAACTTTCAGTCAGCATTCAAACTCACATCCTGTGACTCCAAATCCAGTGTGTGTTCCATTAACCACATTTCTCATTGAATTCTGATATATTCATTTATTCATTCATTCATTCATTCATTCATTCATTCATTCATTCATTCATGCATTTATTTACTTATTTATCTGTCTATCTATCTATTTATTTGTTTGCTTGCTTATTTGCTTATTTACTTATTAATTGATTGATTGATTGATTGATTTATCTATTTATTTATTTATTTTTTAGCTTCTCACCATGGAGAAGTGGACATATATGCATCATGGTATAATAGGAAACTTGTGGGCCTGGGAATTTGAGAATCATATTACAATACCAGTGTTTCCACCTGTTTAACCTTTGTCATCTCACTCCTAGTACAGGTGATTTACTCAACTATAAAGTTAACAGTTAGGACCAGATGACCCTATAGGTTCCCTTTCAGTTCTTCTCTGTCTTATTTTCCAACATTCAAATTCTAACGGCCCACAAGGTTCCAACAGCCTAGTCCCAAAGTGGTTTCTTACTCTGACACTCTATACTTTGACTTCTAAGCTTCTTTTCAGAACTAATATTTTTTATTTCTATCTCTTTTCCGGCTCTAAGATTCTTTACCTCTATGACTTCCCAGTTTCCCCCATGACCAGACCTGACAAATAGGGCACTGATCCCTCTCAGGACCTTACTGCCTCTATCCCTCTCTGGGAAAACCCTCAATGTGCAGAGTGGGTCTGGTTGTCCAGTCAATGAGGATAAAACAGCAGGAAAGTACAGCAATTTTCACAAGTCTAGAGTCTGAGAGTTTAAAAATGAAATAAAACAAAACATACCACTGCTCAAAACTCCTTTACTTGCAACTTTGATTCACTTAGGTAATTTTATAGCTGCCTCAAGAAAGATGGCCAATGGTAACCCTTTCTATAATGATGTAACACTAGTTCATAGAGTGGTGCTTAAAATGCAATAAGAATTTGTCACTCTGTGGTCTATTTGGCTCATTAATAACTGAGAAACTAGCAAAATGGTCATGTTCCCTAGGCAGCATTTATCCCCCATTTCTCTCTCTCTCTCTCTCTCCTCTCTCTCTCTCTCTCTCTCTCTCTCTCTCTCTCTCTCTCTCTCATCTCTGTATCTCTCTTTCTCTGTCTCTTTCTCTGGCTGCTTTTAATATCTCCACTGAGCATGTTCAGCTCCTGTGAGGACTGATGGCAGGTTCTCAGGGTAGAAGTTGGTACATACTCCATCCGGTGGGAAGCTGGCGTTTCATTATTTAAGGATGACATGCCATTACAGTGATACATCTAAAGGTTAAGATTCCAGCACAGTCTGGAACATTTTAAGTGGTATATGGCATAGAAAGCTGTGATCATTATTTATAATGGTTTTCTTGCTTCAAGGTGCAGTGGAAGGAAAAGAATTAAAAAAAATAAAGTATTTGGTTTGAGAAAACGCCTTTTTGTTGTGACAAAGGAACTGAAATGAAGGTTATTGTAGGTTCTTGAGGGGCTAAATAGGTGTGAATGAGGGGGCTAAGGAAACAGTTTGGGTCAGTCATAGAGCCTGGAAATTGGAAAGGGCTCTGAAGGTCATCTATTCCACCCCACAGTGGCATAGGAATCTACTCTGCGATGTCCCTGATAAATGGGCATCTGTCTTTCACCTGAAGATATCTAGTAACAGTGACCTTACTGCCTCCTAAGGCAGTCTGTCCTACTTTTGGACAGCTCTCATTGTTAGAGATTTTTCCACTTACAAGAAAGCAAACTCTGCCTCTCGAAAGCTTCTGCAAGTGGCTCCTGGTTCTACCTCTTAGGGCCAAGCAGACCAACTTTCTGCTGTGGAAGAAACTCTTCCTCATGGAAGTCCTTCAAATACTTAAGGGCATTAAACATCCCCCAGAAGCCCCTCAGCAGCTCCTCTGCCCTACATATTCTTGTCTCCAAGCTAAGTTCTTCAAGTTCCTTCAACTGATCTACGTAGATCAGTCTCTAGAATTCTTTTTACTACGCTCGTTCTCCTCTGGACTGACCCCATAAAGCTGATGTGTATTCTTTCTGTGCTCCAGATGTGAGGAAATGAAAAGGAGAATTCTCCTTATGTCATTGTGCTAAAATTCTGGAACACCAATGACTAAGACTTCTGGTTGAAATTTAGGGCATAGTGAGAAAGAAACATAATGGTTAGCGTTTATATCAGATATCTTGATTTTCTTCAATCAGGCCCTGGCCTCCGTATCTGTCCCTATGTCTCCAACAGATTTGAGATCCTGGATCCATCTTGTTCTTTGTTCTTCCTGTAACAACATGGCCCTCATTCTAACTCCAAATTTCCCTAGAACCCAGTCTTTGTATCTGTTTTTATAGATTCCCACATATTTTCATTCCTTGACAGCTTCCTTGTGCCTCTCCCCACCATGGCCCGCATTTGAACTTCAGCCTGTCCTAAAGCCCAGTACTCCTCAGTTGGCCTTTATCCCCTTATCTCCCACTCTGTTGTGATGAGACATGAAAACTTCAACATTTTAAAGGACATATTATTCTATAATTCCTACAGAACTCAAAATCCATTAAGACCTTCAGGTCCTTTTTCATGTTACAACAGTGACTGCAGTGGTCATTCTTATGATGTGATTGATTTAAGATTTTCTTGGATATCTTTGGGTTATAGTCAATTTTTTCACTTCCATTTGGGCCTAAGAAGATTCTATGAACACTCATAAAATATTTGAGATGCAGAAAGGTACAACATCTAGGTTTTCATTAAAATTAATTATCCGAAGACCCTCTTAAACATGAGAACTGTCAATCAAAGGACTGGACTCACTCCAGAAGTAGCAAGCCTGTGATAACTGAAGATTTTCAAACCAAAGTTGGAAGACCATCTAGCCAGCAAGCTGAAGAGGGGATTTTTGTATAGGGGAGGAGTTCAGGCTAAATGACCTCCTTTGAGGTCCCTTCCAAACATACATTCTAGGATGAAATGCTTCTAAACAATTAAGAGAGAAAAAAGATTTCTTTTTCATCATTTCTTGACAGCAAAGACCTACCTCGGTCATTCCGCAAACATGAAGACTGATACTTATAAACACAACTCTAGGCAGATTGACTCCATACCTTTCAGATCCCCTTTGGAGGGTTTAAAAAAAATCAGCTTCCTTCAATCTTTTCTGCTTTAGCAACCACTGAACCAAATACTGGGGCTTGGTTGCTATCTCAGATACTGAGAGCATTCTCTCTGAAATTACAAATGAGTCAGGAAGATTTAGATGCTCAAGGCTTTCTGAGACAAGTCATGCAGACTTACATTAAGCCTGTTTTCTAAGGTGGTGCAGTGGTTAGATTGCCAGGCTTGGCGTCAGGAAGACTCATCTTCATTTGTTCAAATCTGATCTCACACACTTACTAGCTGTGTGATCTTGGGCAAGTCACTGAACCCTCTTTGCCTCAGTTTCCTATATGCAAAATGAGATGGAGAAAGAACTGGCAAACCACTCCAGTATGTTTGCCAAGAAAACTTCAGATGGGGTCGCAGAGCATCTAATTGACAAAAGTAACAATTCTAAGCCAACAGGGAGAAAAGAAGGCAACAGAGGGGTCTGACGTGGTACAGTGAGGGAAAAAAAAGAGCATTGAGCTTGTGACCGTGAGCAAGTTACTTCATCTTTCTGAGTCTCAGTTTCCCTATCTGTAAAATCAAGATGATACTTTCACAACCTACCTCTACTAATAGCTAGTCTTTATATAGTGCTTACTATGCAGCAGGAACTGTGCTGAACACTTTCCAATCATATTATGTCATTTTATTCTCATAACAATTATGTGAGGCAGATGCTATTATTATCCCCATTTTACAGATGAGGAAATTGAGGCAGACAGTGGTTAAGTGACTTGCCTAGGGCTACACAGTAAGTGTCTAAATCCAGATTTGAACTCAGGTCTTCCTGATTCCAGACCTAGCACTCTAACCACTGAGTCACCTGGTGAGAATCACATGAAACAATGTAATTAAAGCACTATAACAATGTTTACTATTATTATTGTAATTCATAGCTATCCTATGAATGGTATTTTGTTTTTGTTTTTAATACATATGATGTATGCAGAAAGATGATTTGTACCTCAGTTATATCACTGGGGCTTTGCATATGCATATATGTATAAAACGCCGTGCAAGACATAATTCAGCTTCTTGGAGAATGAGCTTACCTTGCGGAAAGAATGTCTGACTTCAAGTAGATCTAAAATTTATTTTAATTTTCTATTTTACAAAAAGGTTCCTAGGAAAAAAAGGTACATATAGAATTATTCTTTCAAATACAAAAAGACAATAGCAGCATGATTCTGAATAGCTATGTAAGTCTTGAGATTCTGAATACATTCTATTACTACTAATAATACCTCAAAATTGCATAGAACTTTAGGGTTTACAAAGCACTTTCCCATACATTAATAATCTTTTGAGGTAGGTAGTAGAAGTGTCATTATATATACCCCATAGAATTTTAGGCTGTGGGATGTTAACCTTTCCCTGAACAAAGACATCTGTAATTCTAAATTCTTAGGTACAAATTAGACAATATCACATTTCCCCCTCCTGGTCTATGAAGAACACAGAGATGGAATGCTCATTTCTCCCCAAGGTTCCTATCATTTCTACTAGAGCAACCAGGTTATTTTATAATGACCAAAATAATAGGCTTTTTTTGTTCTTTTTTCTACCTTTAAAAAAAATTAAACCATCACGTAGCAAATAAAATTTACTAGCTTCTCTGTTTTTAGGAGAGAAAGAGCTCTGGGTAATTTCTGTAGTGTTGTGGCTCTCCGTCATTATTAAGCTATATCTCCGGCTATGCAATATCATAGTATAATTCCAGAATTCATTTCATCCTCCTGGCTGAGTGGTCTGTAGAATACTCCCATTGCAAGATCATTACTGTTCCTCCCTCAAGTGATCCTTACACTAAGATTCTCCATCATGTTCCACTACTCCCCATTTAGTGGTTTTGTGTAGACATGTGTGGCTCCACTTTACCTTTCTATCTCTTTTATAGCTTTTGATTAAATAACCACCCTTTCCTTGTCATATTATAACCATGATGTCATGTTCTACCAAGTCCAAGTAGTATGAATGAAGTAGAAATGTCTTTCCTGCATGCCTTCTCTAGTTCATTTTATCACATGTATTCTCTGTATATGTGCGTAGATATTGAAAAGCTTATCACATCTATTTAATAGAGGAATAGTTGAAATATTATCTCCAATGTATAGATTAGGAAATTTAGGCCCAGAACAGTTAAGACACTTCCCCAAGGTTCTTATTCTCTTTCCATTGAAAGGATGCCAATGGAACATGTGGACATTCCAAATAAGATGTATAGAAATCTAAGAGTGAAATAACTTATATGTGAGGTCTGTTTTTCTTCTACCTTCTTTCTTTGGAGAGACAAAACACTTTGTCAGTAAACATTTATTGAGTACCTGCTGTGTCCTGGGCACCATTCTAAGTGCCGGTAACACAAAGAAAGACAAGAATCAGTTCTTGCCCTCAAGGAGCTGGTAGTCTAATATGGGATATAACATGCAAACAAGCATGTGTGAATATGCTGTATACAGGAAAAATGTCAAGGGGCAGGGAAATAAGCAGAACAAAGGGACCAAAATTAAGAGGTATTGGGAAAAGCTTGCTGTAGGAAATTGATTTAAGCTGAGACTTGAAGGAAGTCAGGAAAGCCAGGAGGCAGAGATGAGGAAGAAGAGCAATCCATGCATGGGGGATGGCTAGCAAAAATGCCTGGAATCAGAAAATGGAGTGTCTTGTGTGAGGAACAGCGAGGAGGTCAATGATGGGGTATAAGGCAGAGGTTTTAACACACTACCTGTGGGCTACATGTGATACTAGATACTCAGGGGAGTCAAATGAAAATAGAATTGAGAAATATTTAACAAAATTACTAAAAATTCAATAAAAACACAGGTAATATTACATTTAAAACTAAGTCAATTTGTGACCTGGAGGGATCCATACATATGGTTTAGTCACCTCCAGTTTTGAACAATACTGGTATAAGGTATAGGAAAACTGGAATGGGGCAGAGAGGAACAGGTTATAAATGGCTTTGAATGCCAGAGGCTTTTGGATTTGATCCTGGAGGTGACAGGGAGTCTCTGGAATTTACTGAATAAGGGGATAAGGGTGACATAGTCAGATCTGGGCTTTAGAAAGATCACTTTGGCAGTTGATCAAGGATGGAACAGAGTAGAAAGAGACATGTGACAGGCAGATCCACCAGCAGGCTATTGCAAGAATCTGAGCATGAGGCACTGAAGGACTGCATTGGGGTAGTTGCATTGTCAGGAGAAAAGGGGGCATTTTTGACAAATGTTACAAAAGCAACTGTTTGAATATGGGTAGTAAAATATACTATCCTTAGTAAGCTATACTGTGCAGCTAGGTGGCACAGTGGATAGAGCACTGGGCTAAGAATCAGGAAGTCCTGAGTCCAAATCTAGTCTCAGATACTTACTAGTTGTATGACCCTAGACAAGTCACTTGACCCTGTTTGCACCTGTAAAATGAGATGGAGAAGGAAATGGCAAACCACGCCAGTATCCTTGCCAAGAAAACCCCAAATGGCATCACAAAGAGTAGAACACGACTGAAAAATAACTGAAATAAGATATACATAGACACAAACATACACATAGAGATATAGACACACACCAGGAAGGTGGACATTTAATAAATGACTCCCAAGGTAAGCTGGGAAGCACTAGAATGAGAGCCAGGCCACAGTCAATTGACTAGCTTTTATTTACTGCCTACCATGTATGTGTCAGTTTCAATGTTCAACAATGGGATTACAAACACAAAATTGGGACAGCTTCTGCCTCATAGAAGATTGCATTCTATTATTCAAAACCTGGATTCTAATTCACCCGTTACCCATTCTCTTAGTGATGGTGGGCGAATCATTTCTGTTACCTATACATCAATTTCATGATCCATAAAATGAGGGAGTTGAACCCGATCATACCTGAGATCCCTTGCAGGTCTACCAGTCTATGTTTTGAGTGCTTTAAGCCCTAACAAGCTGTTGTCTGTGTAGTAACAGTCTCTGTTCTAGAGTTGCTCATAGCTCTAGCAATCTGTCTCCTAACAATTTATTTTCAAAGATCCCTTCTAGCGCTAAGGTTCCATTTCATGCCTTCATTATTGCTGTTCCCACATCTTACTTTGGAGAGAATGTTTGTTCCTTGCTAACCAAAGAAAAACTACATGAGCAGCAGCCATGTATCATTGATAGTTTCAAGGAATTCTCCATGGGACCAGGCTGTTTTTGATGTAACCACACCAGCAAGCACACTCACTTGTTCCTTCAATGGTGACATGCTGACTTGGATCAGATGAGCTTGCATATGTTAACTGAAATTAAACGGGAGCCTGGGGAGAGAATGGCTTTTGTCAGTATGTGGGGTCAAGGACTGGCCTCGTCTTCTAGTTACAATGTATTATTTACAACTGTATGTTTTAAAGAGCTCCGGGTGTCTACAGTTAGCTGCATCCCATTAAGGAAATGAGAGCCCAAACAAACAGCAGAAGGCTCTCATCAGCCACAGCATACTAGGACAGACCTATCCTCAGGGGTGCTGGGAATTTTGCCCAAGAGCTTTTGGGAAGAGGATTCGCAGGGGAGCTTAAGCAAGGGGATTGAGTGGGGAGGGGAGGAAGTGGTGAGTTGAGCCAAGACCAACAAATAAAATAAAATAAAATAAAAATAAGCAACATTGATGGCTTAGTGATGGTCTCAGCCAGAATAAGGCATAAAGATAAAAGAGGAAAGGCAAGCTAAAGGATTTACTAACCCTAATTCCAAGGACATGATTTACTCTAATTGACTTTATTTCTTGGAACTCAAGCTGTCCTCAGGCTGGGTTACCTCAGGATGCTGCAACCATCATGGATGGAAGATGAAGAATATCATTAGCTTTATTTCTTTTAGCTCAGCACTAAAGTAAGGCATGGAAATGTGTTTTGTATGAATACACATACATAATCTTTGTCAAATTGCTTGCTTTCTCAATGAGGGAGGGCAGGTGAAGGAGGAGGGGAGAGAATTTGGAACCCAAAAATTGAAAAAAAAGTTAAAATTGTTTTTACATGTAATTGGTGAATAATACAATATTAAATTTTAAAAAAATACTAAAGTAAGGGAAAATACCTATGGCATGGAATTCAAGAAAAGCTTCCTGAAGTGAGTATGTATATGTCTCTGTGTGTGTGTGTGTGTGTGTGTGTGTGTGTGTGTTGTAATTAAATAGAGGAATTCCTTGTTCACTTGAATGAGTTCCAAGAATCAGTCACTGTTGGGGATTTTGAATATGCCTTCTTGTGGAAGGCATGATGTGCCTTATGGTGCCTTCTAGAAGATGGGTTTCATCATGGTTACTGTAATCAGTTGGTACTCATGATGAGCAAGAAGCCACTCTGTTCTAGCCCATAAAAGAGTCTTCATTGAAGACACTCCTTTGTCTCCCTTTCCATTTTGCTTCCAGAAGGATACTGAGTGAGCAGCAGAGCTAGGTCAAATCTAGCTCAGATAGGATGATCCCCATTGTTATGGCCACTTTCAGACACGTGGAAGCTTCTTCATAGATTTTTGTCTACTCAACTTAAAAGGAAAATTCCTGAAAGATGAGCCCTATACAGGTAGTAGTGTACCTTTTCAATCACATTTGTGGCAGACATGGAGGCAGAAGATACGTGGTCAAAGTTTTCAGTTTCTGAATGCCAAGATTTCCTGTGCAGCACAATCTTAGAACTTAGCCTTCTTACAACTGAAGTGGGATGAATAGGTCAGCCTCAAGAGTTGTCCTGAGAGTAGCCACACATTTGAGAGTTCAGGGATCTAGCCTTCTATCAAGAAAAAGGGAAATTTCTTGAGTAGCATGTGCGTTGGCAAGAGAAGATCACACATATGGACCCTGGTGCTAGGAGGGGCACTGGTAAATGGCTAAAGCCATATTATGGGAGAGCAAGTGTCCTGAAATTTTTCCCTGCTCTTACCATGAGTTATTTTGGTTTGGGCCAAATGGGAAAAAGATTGAACCTTTACCGTTCTTATGGTTGTTTCTGTTCTGGGAGGAATCCAAGCCTCCAAAACTTTACAAGAAAGCTAGATATCTTTGAGAGCATCTGTGGGATGAAAGTGGGCCTCACTGGATTATTGGGTTGATGCCCACCTAGCAACCCCAAATATTTTTTTTTTCCTTTCTG